TTCCTTTTCTTTAGCACAACCTCGGAGGATTCGAGGGAAGACTACAGCACGCGATGCAAAGAGTGCGGCGGTCACAGGATATTAGGTGGTGTAGTGTCGATGGTGCCAGTCCGCCCCCCGTTGGTCCTGCCGTCGCGCCGGAGTTGATTATACAAAACCCAGCTCTAGCGCGTGTTTGCGATCTCTCTTTTCGTGACCCGGAACACTTCGTGGCAGGCGAAATTCACATTTGGCGTCCGTTACTCGCCGAGCTCCCGCGTCTGCAGCAGCAACTTTTTTCTGGCATAATACATGAGGGAGTCCAGGTCAGAGTATAAAGATACGCCGAGGGGGGAACCGCCCACCCACCTCCCCTGTAGGCCAATAGCGATTTTTATCTCGAACGATATTTCTCAACCCGTCGCGGATTTTATTCCCATAACTTAATACCATCCGCGTGCGGTTGCATTTGACAACAGATAATGAGAATGCGTGAGTATTTCAATATAAACACGAGTACAATAATCAATCTAACTGCGTGAGCGGATGACGACTTTGTAAAAGTTCATATCTTCAACGGATTTTCTCAGACTCTTAGTAAATTTCTGCTCTCTGTCAAGATTATTATTTACAATATAATTATTTATCACTGCGAGAAATGTTACAGTACTAACTACAGTCTACACTGTAGTCTACAGCAGTAACTTCAAGTACTTTGTTTTTAATGTTATTAAGCAGTCAAACACATTATCCCATACCTGTGTTAAAAGCGGCTTTCTGATTGGTTTAGAGCAGGTGAGCTTGTCGTCGAGCTCACCTGCTTTTGCCGAACTCACCTGCTTTTCGCCCGAACTCACCCGCTAAACTGCTTACGTTGCAATAACAATAACAAATATGGCGGACAAGATTTAGCCGATAAACCTAAACTTTAAAGAACTTTTTTCGGTGACTAACATACTGAGACTGAAGAAAAACCAAAGAAAAATGCAGTAAAGGTAATGTAGACGTAGATAAAGAAGTATTTTCTTGCCCAGTGATTTTTTTGGCTGGGAAAATGTTCACAAAACATCGACGAATATATCGCGAAGAGCTACAAATGTGTGTATGGCTCGGTCAGCCTCGGTGTATGGGATAAAAACCAAACGTACTTGCAGGTTTGGTGAGTCCGGGATTGGACGCACCTCGGGTAGCTGGAAGTTTCCCGAACTCACCTCGCTTCGCTCGGTAAGTTCGGGAAACTTCCAGCCACCCTCGGTGCGTCCAATCCCGGACTCACCTCCCTGCAAGTACGTTTGTTATAAAATCTATACTCATATTTGATGACCTGAAATTATGTAAATGAGCCATTAATAACAAAGAGTGGCCAAGTTAAGTTGACAAAGCTAAAATCGGATGAACCTCAAGGTCTTGAACTGCAAAGGTATTTAGCCAAACATCTATTCAGCATTATTTAATGCTAGTGAGTTAATGATATTTTTAATATCCATGACAACTGCAGTTTGGCAGAGACAACTCAGAGATTTTTTAGAGAAAAGGTTTCGTAACCCTTCGTAAGAAAATCTCAAAATTTCATTATTTTGTTCCCTTGCCCCTACATTATACCTTTTGTGCTCTCGAGATCTTTTCAAAAATTGCCCAACTCCGCAGTGTGGCTTGTAACCTTGTTGCCATAATTATTTTCTGAAGGCTTCAATGGAATTTCTACACTAACACCTGACAGGGACGGGGCCATATGCATGTACGAATTTTTCCAAATTTTTTAATTAAATTTATTGACCCAAATTTTATTGAACGATTTTGAAGCTTTCTAGATTATTGAAAAGAAATGTATGGGCACAAGAAATGGGGCATAATCAGTTAAATTGAGCAAGATGCAAGACCAGGTCACTGGATTGTATTTCAGCACACTGCTGGACATGCAACCTAATACCTGCAACCTGTGTCACATTTGTATAGTTTTACACTGTACTGGAAAAATAATGTCAAGGAATTTTTAGAGACTCGCTACATATGGTTTATTCAGTCACCTGCATGAATAATCTTCAAGTTATGAATAGTGTTTTAAAATTAGTAATACATTATACATAATCATATCAATTTTTAATATCATAAATGAATATAGTAGCTTTTGATTATACAAGTTATAACAATGTATCATCAAAATTAATAACGATTGGTCTTTTTGAAAGCCATACAGAAAGTTTCAAATTTCACTATAGCACTACTGCTACCTGTCACTGGCAGCATGCATTCGATAGCAGTAGTGGAAGTCAAATCTGATCTCTTTATTTTCCTTTGAGGATTTGCACTAGTCACTTCAATTCATTCGGAGATGCACATGCACAGTTATTGTTGACTTGCTTAGCACAACTAGCTTTTCAGGTTGGAGGTCCAGCTATTAGGATTCTGTAAATTAATTATAGAAAACTGGCTTTAGTTTAGGCTGTCTAAGCAAAAACCATCACACTGATTATCACGCCAATTTGGTTGTTTAAAAGTTAAAGTCCAGGCTGCATGTCTTTTGAGTTTTGTCCGGCACGACATCTTGGACAGTCCGGTTTTCAAGTGTTTATGTGGGATTGCCTGCTTTATGTGAGATTCCAATAACCGGGCCAGTTTGGTTGTTAATGCAATCTACAGTACACAGCCAGATCTCATGCGGGGCTCTTCTTCTGAAACAATCCTTGGTTGCGATATCATCCAGGAAGTCCAAAAATGCACTACCTTTGGCAAGGATCAATAAGGATCATTTTGCATGTTCATCGACTATGTTAAAAACGTAAGTAGCACAACATCTGTACATATACTGTACAACGGAAGTCCTTTTATATCATAATTACATATTGTTGAAATATTCATGACCATGTCCATGTATTAAAAATGTGCATGAACTTGTCCCTAGCTTGAAGCTGAAGTATTGCGCCATATCTTTTGCATCTGGTGTCCTTCTATTAACCAACTTTTAGTCATTAAACAAGATTACAAAAGAGGTGAATTTCATTCCATTCATTAATACTTTGCAACAAAGTACTAAACCATATTAAAAACCTGTACAAGTGACAGTACAACGAGCGATATATCAAAGACTTTTGAACATCGCATACGAACAAATCTCAAAGAGTTTTTTCGATAGAAAGTATTTATCCGTTTGTTCGATCGCCGTATTTTTGAAAAAACTTGAAATGCAAAATTCACAGGGAAGATTGAAGAATTTCGGAGATAAAAACTGTTGGTCTTCGAATTTCACCTCTACAATTCACCCTCCGGATTAGAAAAGTAACAATTACGTAACGTCCAAAATTCTTGGAGTCATATTACCAGCGTTTACCAGGGCCTCGCCCGCTTTGGCGGCCATATTAGAAAATTGGTTGAATTAATAGAAAAAAAGTTTGAAAAATTTTGAGATATTGTTGTAGAATTTCCCGATGAAACACATTCGTTTAAAGTTTAAATACAAACAATAATTTCAAAGTCAGACCGTACTTTCAGTCATGTGACTCGGCTACTGCAGCTCTTGACTACCATTCATGTATGCTACTGAACCCATTGATCAGGGATTGATAGAATATAACTTACATCGACAACCAATGCAAACAAAACATATACTTCTCGATACTACAATACATTAATGAAATGTCTGTCATTTAAAGTTACTCGTGATAGCTGCTGGTCGTCCTGGCTTTCCTCTACTGTTCATAAACGTAGGTGTTGTACCTTCCGCGTTCATAACAACACATGACACGTTGCTATCAGCCACACTCATATCGTTGACAATAGAACTCCAGAAACTGCATGGTGCAGGTTCCTGATTACATTCAACGGGAACAAGATATTCAATCGATCGCTTAATTTCTGAAAACTGTTCTGGAATCCTACCACTGCTTCTAATCATTTCCTTTATTCGACCCAACTTCCACGTGTTTCTTTGATGTTTATCGTCCTTAACACGAAAGATATCTCCTTCTTTGACTGCAGCTTCTTTTGCTGACTTGTTGCTAGTGCTTGCCACCAATTGCGTATTGAAGGAATCCGAGGTTCTGTTCTGATGCATGCTACCATTGAGTGGACACTCTTCTTCCTGTAGTTACACATATCTTTAGTTTCCTGTGATCCATATTTTACAGATGCCAAAATTAGAAACAATGAAGAATGTTAAGAAAAAAATACAGTAATACCTTTCTGGTGTTTCCAATATGGAATAATATGGACTGAGGTTTAGTTTTCGCATTCCATACTCCAATGAATGCAGTTGCATTGTTGACGTATTAAGAAAAGAAAAAAAATTGAATTGTTATACCATAAAAAATAATTTACAGCTATTACTGTTTACAATACGCACATATAGTCAAATAAATCTAAAAGAAAATAGACAAATGGTGAAAAACGTGTACGGAACGTTTTGAATTTGTAAGTGTAATTTGCGAGGGTTTGACCGTAATTGCGTGCGAGATTTTGTAAACACAAAATAAGCAAACTTTTTATGCTAAAAAGTTTGCGAAAGTTTCCCTAGTATTCATATATTCTAGTTTATGTATATAAAAATACATTAAGAATATATTCGTGCATATATTATACAGCATTTCCCATATCATTGGTTAAATGATTTTCATGCCAATTAGCCCAATTATATACAGAAAATTATAAATTGGGATCATGAGCATGTCAAATGTTTTGGAGACTATAATCTCCATATTGTACCACTCAGAAATGCAAAACAGTTTGCAAAACAGCAAACATTATCACGTTATTAATTATAACGCAATATTTTATCATGTTGCAGCAACCAAAATACTATATGATGTACAGTATTTTGTCGCTTTACAAACAGGGTCAGGCACCTCATTTCCAAAATTGTAATTGGAGATGTGGCGACATATATTTAAAGTTTTTTTTTGCTAGTGCGAGATTTTCATACATGCGATAATTCTGAAAATGCGTAAGTTTTCAGACGTTCATTAATTGCGATCGCGTGCGATATATTTTAGTTTACACAGTTATATTTTCTGCATTTCAGTCAGCACTGCACTATGATTTGAGAAATATGAAGATACCGACCTGCAATTTCATCACTGCAGTTAGTCCTTGTGTAGTTACTTTGACAGACGCATGCGTATTGATTATCCAAAATCCGACAAACATAAAATTCTTCACAGCCGTGAGTGCGGCAATCATCTTCTATAGATAAATATATAAATTTGTATCAGTACTTTCAAATAAACAACAGTTCTTAACCACCATGATACATGCACGGAAAAATATAGGTTTTCCTCAGCCTCGGTACTATACGGCCCTAGCTATACTTTAACGCCGGTTTTCCCATTAAATTTCTTACCCTGCAATGGAGCTGGTTTCTGGACGTTTAAAAATGCTAATATTAATAAAGTATGCTTTCCGATTCTCCCCTCGTCAGCGGGTGACGAAGGCCGCGGGGAGGGTGATGATCAGTCAGGGGCGGATCCAGCAAAAAATCTGACTGTAGCATAATACTAGATTTTGGAGGCACCAGGATATCTAGGGGGGTCCGGGGGCATGCCCCCCCGGAAAAATTTTGAAATTTGAACCCCGGAAACGCCGTTTCCTGCATTCTGAGCATCGAATTCTGTTCTAACATTTGACCCAGGAGTTGAATTTTATCGCGGCAATTGCCGTAGAGGGAGAACAAAATGCCGTGAATCATTGCGGCAACGACGACAATTTTTTGCCGTATAGTGCAATTTTTATACTATTCACTGTGCGTTACTATTTTGGCACTTGAATTCAGATATTGATCAAATCATGCGTAAATCACTATCTTTTCTATCTATCTCGTCTCAGTTTTCTTCGAAAAAAAAACTAAAGAAATACGTAGACATGTTTCTAGCTTGTCAAAAATCCAAAGACCATGTAACATGCACAATAAAATTAAACTTTTATTACAGTAATTTGAAAAATGCCGTGGAACTGCCAAAATTGCCGTAGACAGCAGTTACGTTCTACGGCAATTTTTTACGCCATTGCCGTCGATTGATTTCAGGGAAATTCGTGGCCTGATTTGACCTTATTGTCGATTTCATATTACTTTTCAAAGCGCGGTTCAACTCGAACTTCGATTGTAAACAAATATAAAAATTTCATTTAGAAATTTATTTAAAAATGCATTTTTCGTCTTGGGAGACCACTGGACAATATTTTACTGCACTCTGCAGTAATATGTGCATAGGTGGCCTTATACAGTAATTTCAACTCCAACTATGTCTATGAACATCTGTTTACAATCAAAGTTCGAACTTTGTCTTGAAATGAACTTGCAAACTTCGTTGCGAAGTTCTCGCCCAACTTCCGAACGTGACAACGTAATTGGTAAGTTCGCAACGAACTTGGGAACAGCGTGTTAAAAAGTTACCTGAAATCGACAATAATAAGGCCATATTTTAGACAAATGGTCACAAAAAAATACACTGAAAGTTGAAGGTCAATATTTTTGAGAAAAAGTTAGAAAAACACGTAATAACAGTAAAACATAAGGGAAAGGGAATCTTTCGAAGTACTGCTGTTAACTGG